AATAAATATGTCGTTGAAACAGTCGTTCTAGAGTAGTTCATCTAAACACATTCGAGCTCTAATAATGTCTAAGATTAAATAAAAAAACCTACATTTTTAATTCAAAATTTCCGGTATTACATTTGGCACTAAATTCTGAGAAAATTTTCAAATGTCTTTGTATAGATGCTCATCCATCTGTCTGAGGAAGCCTATCCTTAGAGGTTTTAATTTTCTGAACAGGTATATAGAGCAGCCATGTCTTCCAAGTTGTCTTACCAGCATCCAGCGACTGCCATTTACAACGACTGGAAGATGTTATTCACCTGATGATTCGAATAGTTGCGGTGGAGAAAAGGACAAAGAAAAAGCAGCGGCAGCAAAACAAAAAAAGAAAGATGATGAAAAAATAAAGGAATATAAGATGCAATGTTTTGAACTTCAGAAGAAGGCACTGGATGACGAAATCCAATCTTCAAGTGATAAAGAAAAGCAATTAATTCAGGGTATGATGAAGTGTCTGACCGAGGGTATGAAGAAGGCGTGTTCGAAAATAGCACTAGCAAAACTGTGYGCTGATAAAGAACTCGAAGATCAATGTGCTGCACTGGCTAAAAAAGACAAAGTTAAAGCTATGCTCAAGAAGTGTGAAAAGAAAATGGCTAAAGAAAAAGCTAAAAAGCAAAAATGCCCACCTGAGGAAAAGGAGGATGAGAAGAAGAAAGGCAAGGGCAAGGGAAAAGCGAAAAAGCCAAAACAGCCAAAAAACAGATTTACACTAAAATTAGAGAAGTGCATCAAAAGCGAATGGGCCGATGTTTGTGAATGTCGTCAATGTTTTAACGAAGAAGAAAAGAAAAGACTGTCGAAGACCTACAAATGTCTAGGAGCTGAAATTAAAAGTGTTTGCAGAAAGAAGGTAATAAGCGAAATGTGCAAGGAAGCTGGACAAAAAAGCAAGCCTAAGAAATCAGACAAAAAGCAGAAAAAAAAAGATGAAAAGAAAGAGCAAGAGCTTGAGAAAGCAGTACTTAAAGAACAAGAAGAAGAAGAGAAAAACATAAAACGTCTAGTAAAAGCATTAAAGAAAAAATGTAAAAAGAAGCAAGAAAAAGCTCTTAAGAAAAAGTGTAAGGAGGATGCCAAAAAGAAAAAGAAAGCAGCACTAAAAAAGAAATGCCAAAAATTAGCTGAGCAAGAGAAGTGTAAAGAATTAGCTGAAAAAGAGAAGTGTAAAAAATTAGCTAAGAAGGAAGAGGAGGGGGATGAAGAGGAAAAGTGCGAAAAAGGGGATGAAAAGGAAAAGGAAGCAAAACARAAGAAAAAGTGTAGAGAATTRGCAAAAAAAGCAAAGAAAGCTGCGGAAAAGAAAAAGTGCGAAGAAGCAGCTAAAAAAGAGAAGGAAGCGGCTGAGAAGAAAAAGTGCAAAGAATTAGCAGAAAAGGAAAAGTGCAAAAAATTGGCTGAAAAGGAGAAGTGCAAAAAAGGTGGTAAAAAAGAGAAGAAAGGAGGAAAAGATAGGAAAAAGTGTAGAGAATTAGCTAAAAAGGCAAAGAAAGCTGCTGAAAAGAAAAAGTGCAAGGAATTAGCTAAAAAAGCAAAAGAAGCTGCTGAAAAGAAAAAATGCGAAGAAGCT